ATAGATGGAAAATAAATGAATTTCATCTTAAGGTGGAAGACAAATACAAAATGAGTTCTGAAAAAAGTTTTCTATAGCACTTATGTAACAGAAATTCATCTTCAGAGAAAATTTTCCTCCTTAAGTGCACTTCAGTAACATATAAATGTACCTTCTTAGATGCCATTGGAAAATGGCTTTATGCAAATCTAATTTTGTCATATGATTACTGCTTGATATGATAGAGGAAATATCTTTGTTCTCAAGAAGAGCTGGCAAAAGCTTTAGGTGTGGTTCAAGCTGCACCAGGGGAGATTTAGGCTGGACATTAGGAAATACTACTTCTCTGAAAGAGTGGTCAGGCAGTGGAATGGGCTGCCCAGGGAGGTGGTGGAGTCATCAACCCTGGAGGTGTTCAAGGAATGTTCGGATGTTGTGTTGAGGGACGTGGTTTAGTGAGAACTATTGGTGATAGGTGGATGACTGGACTGGATGATCTTTTAGGTCTTTTACAACATTGGTGTTTCTGTGATTCTGTGATTCTGTGTTTATGTCTGCTTTTGAACAGTTTGCCATATTCCACTGAGATTCAACAGGAAATCTCCATGCATTTTCAATTCAATTTCTAGGACAAAAATGAAAACCCATATGTGAACACCAACAAAGTTTTCATGGAAAAAATATGGTTTTGTCCCCTATATCACTTGAGAATGGCAACCTTTACTGTATGCGGTGAAAAACTCTACCTTAGAAGCAAAATATAATTCCGTGGGCATGTTCACATGAGGTTGTACTAAAGTTCAAGCATTATGTCTTTGTAATGCAGTGTGGAATTCTCATTCTTTTAACTAGTTTCCTGAATAATATAATACTATCTTCTTGTAGATTCATTAGCTATATGAAATTCTTAGTGCAGTTACTGACACAGGTAAAAGGTGAAAATGTTCTGTTTATAGGTAGTTGGGTTTGTGAAACTTCTGTAGTAACTAGCAGTGTCCCCTACACACAAACTCAAACTTGCTGGCTCTTCATTTGTTGGTGTAGCAGCCCTTACTAGAGCATTTTTCCATGACAGCAAGCATCTTACACCAGGAAGTTTATTGTTCTCCTTCCTTTCTCAGTATTCCATCAGTATATACTCTCAGGTGACTCACAATGTTAGCAAGGAGCATTTGCTTGAAGGAAAACTTCATAGTGAGCAGATGTAGAGATTAGTGTAGTGAGTCCTTCAGAATTCTTTCAGAAACACTTTCTTGTTACCATGACTCATAGTAAAGGAACTATTTTATGTAGGATGCATCATATACATATTTCTCAAGTATTTTCCTAGTTAGAGTTGGTTTTTTTGTTTGTTTGTTTTTTTCTCTCTGCAGCCAACCGTTTAGAACAGCTGAAAGATTACTCAAAGCATGGGAGGGTAATAACAGTATTATGGATATCTTTATTTCCTTTGCACAAAGCAGCCATACTCCACACTTATATTAGGAAGAAATCTGGTTCTTTGTTAATGACAGCTTTATTGAAGACAAGCTTTCAGAATGAATATACTAGAAATCCTATTAAAGTGCCATCCATTAAACCATTAAACCACTCATTAAAACTGTTAGTACAGACTTGTTATTCATGAGTTATCAGTTTTTCACACTTCTGAAATGTGTCTGCCAATACCGCTCTACTCTTTGTTCCTGTATGGCTATTAAATCTGAGGAAATATAGATTGACATTCTTTTGCCAAAAAAAAAAAAAAAAAAAAAAGCATTTATTGGGACGGTTGTTAGGCCACAAAGCTGTTTGGATTGGTGAGAAAAGGAGGAAAGATTAAACTGCAGGCCCATTTGCTCCATTTTGATGTAATTTATGCTAACTATGTCTGCATGAGGACTCAATCATTGAGATACACCATCTCACTATACATCACACAAAGAAGTAAGTGTGGCATATAGTATGCTGCTGTGTTTTAAACATCCTCATCTACTTCTATAAATAGTTGACAAAGAAAGATACTGTTTGATTTTTTTCAAGGAATGGAAAACATGCTTTAGATCACCTAAATATTAAGGACTGAAAAATAGAAGAAGAATACAGAGCAGATAAGTTTAAGCTTTAAATACAAAGTGTTATTAATAAATTACAAACAAACATAGGTACATAGGTAACTATTAGTTATTTATATATTAACTATATATTAAGCTACATATTAACTATAAGTGTAATATAGAGCTGATGTTCTTTCAGATAATGGGCAAAAATCTATTTAGAACATGATTTTCAAGTGTAAACAATTATTAAAAAAATTGTAAAGTATTCATCATATATAAATTTACTTTAGTAAAAACAGTGAAGATCAGGTATAGTATATCCTTCTGTTCAAAACACAAAAAAATGCACATCAGCATTACTTCTTGCTGGGGATGCATGTAAACAGTGTATTTGTGTATGTACCTCTCAAAAAAAAGTAGTAATGGTTGGCCTAGATGTGATTTATTCTGGGTCAAGTAATTGCTTTATTTAAAAACAAAACAAACAAAAAAAAAACAAACAAAAAAACCCCTGTTTATATACAGTTCTTTTAAAATATTTTGAATATCTTTGATTTATTTTGGAATTACTATCTTCTTCATTATTACTAGACCTCTGAATAAAACACATATAACTATGTAAAATATTGAAAATATAGCCAATGAATGTCCTGAACAAGTTTCTATATTCATAGAAACACAGAATTGTTGAATGGCTTGGATTGGAAAGGACCCTCCCTCACCCTTTCTTCATAAGAGGGGTGTTCCAGTCCCACTGATCATCTTCATGTTCCTCCTCTGGATCCCCTCCCAACAGTCCTGTGTCTTTCTTGTCTTTACATAGGGGGCAACTTTCCCACTTCTCCTACCCTGCCTATATCTTCTAAAAACCATTAAGCCTCAACTGTTGTGTTGTAGTATTCCATTTGTTCAATTCATTCCAACATGTTTCTATGATCATGATTTGATCACCATTTCTAATTGCACTACTGTTTCCGTCTCTTTAATTCCCATGATGTATGCATTAGTGTAGAGACACTTCAGCTGAGCTACCAACCTTGATACCTTCTTGGAGGGACCCTCCCTCGTTTCTTATTCCCTGTTATGTCTTGAAGTGGCTCTGTTCCCTGATTCTTCTTTGCCTCTTTGAGTGGCAAAGTCTAGAAAGTCTATCCCTTTATTCCTTCACATCTAGTTTAAAGCTTTGTTAATCAATCCAGCCAGCTTGCTTCCCGGAAGATTGTTGCCTCACCCAGTCAGTTGCATCCTATCTTGTGTCAGCATGTCCTATCTCTCAAAGTTGCATCAGAGATCATAGAACCCAAAGTCGTGATCCGTACCATCCAGACATCCATTCATCCATACATCAAATAATTCACCTGATTTGTTTGCTTCCTTCTTCTTTTTTTCCCATTTCATAACAGGGAATACAGAAGAGAACACTGCCTGCAGGCCTGATCCCTTCAAAATCTTTCCAATCTTTCTTTAATGTTTGCACAGGGACTCTGTGACCTTTGTGTCAGGCATTCAGAAAACAGGACTTTTCGAAGTAATCTCAAGAAAGAAGCAACATCATTCTCACAAAACTGAAAAAATATAAGATATATAGATTCTTAAGAATCATGCATATATGTTGATGAAACACTTCTAAAGTCTCTGATGATACAGAAAGTAAAAAAATACTTGATTCATTATGACTTCTCAATGTAAAGTGACTTTCTATACAGCCAGTAACATGGTAGACATAAGCATGTACCATCTACCATTTATTTAGCATTTGCCCAAATATATATATACATCAATCTTTGAGAAAACAGTACAGCACTGAGTTCTCCTTGTGAAGCATCAAGGAATAGAGGAAAAACTTCAGTACACATAAATCTGTTGAGGCCAAAGGTACTTCAGTCAGGGCTACCCCAGATGTGTGTACAGATTGAGAGAAAAATTCATTGAGAGAAGTCATGCACAGAAAGACATGGGGATCCTGACAGATGAAAACCTTGACATGAGCCTGCAGTGAGTGCTTGCATCCCAGAAAACTAGCTGCACCTTGAACTGCATCAAAAGAAGTGTGGCCAGCGGAGTGACCAAAGTGGTTGTCTCACTCTCCTCTGCCTTCAAGAGGCCCTACCTGGAGTACCATTTCTGGGTTTGGGGCTCCCAGCACAAGAAAGAATAGAGTTGCTGGAGTGGGTCCAGAGAAGGGCCATGAAAATGATCAGAAGACTGAAACACCTCTCTTATGAAGAAAGGTGGAGGGGGCTGATTTTGTTTAGCTTGGAGAAGAGAAGCCTTCAGAGAGATTTCATTGTGGCCTCTCATTTTTTAAAGAAACATTTATAAAGAAGATGGAAACCAGCCTTTTAAATGGGAAGATATAGATAGGACAAGGAAATAGAAAATCAGCAGTCATTACACTTTCCCTTGCTCCCTGATTGGTAATGATATGAAGTCTTGGTCTAGAGCCAAAATGAAAAATAACAATAATAATAAAAGAAAAAAGAAAAATTTGTCAGAAACAAGATTTTTTACTTTTGGAAAAATTCATCACTTTTACTTTTTATTTAGTAAGCAGGATAATGAGTTGTTTGAACATGTACCTTTTGTAATAGATCAATTCAAAAATATTTATCCACCTTCTTCCTGGTGTTTTTAGGATTTCTGACATTTTTTTCATTCCATGTTATATTGCTCACTTGCAAAGCAATGAAAAAAAAGTGATGGATAGTGTACCCTTGACTTTCTGAAGAGAAGGCAGTTACCTTGGATTTGAAGAGCTTATAATTAAAATTTGTGATGAGAATTTCAGATGCATAAAATCTAAATGCTTGAGATGATACTATACAATATGCTACTAGACATGCCAAAGTAATAATTTTCTTTCAAAGTCAAAATGTTTTCATGGTAAAGTGATTGGGGCATATCTTTTGTAAACTTCATAAATACAGGTATGTAGTGTTTATATAAAATTTTCTGTTCTTCCTCTCTTTTTCTCTTTTTAAGTCTATTGATCCCGGTCAACAGTTTACATGGGAACACTCTAACCTGGAAGTAAACAAACCAAAGAATAGATATGCAAATGTAATTGCATATGACCATTCTCGTGTTCTACTCTCAGCAATTGAAGGTAAGGAGAACTTTACAAGTAAATTAAATAAATACTAAAATCCACTGTAATTCTAGCTCCAAATATCTTTGCATGTACAAATAAAATAAAATAAAACAAAACAAAATAAAACAAAATAAAATAAAATAGATTTTTAGTTAAAATTAGTTACTGCCAGTACATTTCTTTAATGACAATCCTCTGACTTTCATTTGCAGTAGTTCACTATGAAACTGCACTAAAATTGACGCAGGGTCACATACAGCACCAAATGATAATAGCACCAAGTCTCTGCATGTATCCCAAAGTGTTACCCAAAGTAAACCATCATTGCTGTTTATTTGTGCTATTTCTGGAGAACAAGTAGAGCAATTGTAAATGAATAAAGGTTCTTACCTAGCAACAGCATTTTCAATACACTTGATTATAGTGCTTCAGTTGCTTAATCTAGAAAAATAAATCTATTCAACTTTGTGTTTTCAGGGGAAATATAGATATCTGTATTAAAACTTTATTTCTTTTTTGTTTATAAAGTGAATATTAAATAAAAATATTTAAACAAATGTACTTATGCAAACATTGTTGTAAATTGTTGGAAATTTACTACCAAAATTTTGGCAGAGGAGTATAATTACTTTCATTTTATCTTTCTTGGTCATGTAACTCCAAAAATATGAACATTTTAGATTCTTGACTTAAACTGTCAAAAATGATCAGCCTTAGGTATTTTACCTGTTTTAATAAGAGCTAAAGCAACAAATTTCTTGTTTTCACTCTAGGCTTTTTTTTTGTACCAGTTTTGTCTTAATATTAAGCTTCTTCCAGTATGTGGCCAGATTTTCATTTTATTCTACATCATTGACAGTTATTAAACATGGTCAGAATAAAACAGCTTATATATTAAATTGGAATGGTTTATATGAGAAAGAAAATTGTCTTAATTACTTTAACAGTGCTTGTGTATGATATATAAGATCTTGGGTATTCAAGGTCATAGTTTGAAACTAATATGCTACTAGTTTAACTGCAGAGAATTTAGATTTACAGTTATAAACAGTTTCTTTTTGGCTACCTCAGATTTGATGACATTGGATACAGAGGGGGCAATATTTATATTCAACAATTTTATTAACAGCTGCTTGGTAATGAAAATAGCAGTGTCAATGACTGAGGTTTAGATCTTTACTTACTGCAGCTAGGTTTGAGGTCTTGATTATACAGATAAGAACTTCTCAAAGATATTAGAAAATTCAGTGGTAGACTTGAAGAATTTGCACCTGGTAATCTTCATACGTTTGTTCTGTCTCTGAAGCTTGAGATGTAGTATTTGCAACATTTTTTTTTTTTAATGGCACAATATTTTGCACTGTTTAGTAAAAAAAAAAATAGTAGTGGTATAGAGCACTGCTGCCTCCCGATAGAACTATGGCTCAACACTGATAAAATGTATTTTAATTCATGTTATATTCAGTGCAGTTCGAGAAAAGTATCACATTCTGTATCACTGAAGAAGAGAAGTGGATACATGGTCAAGAAAAATCAACAATTGGACAGCTGTTCTAAATTGTTATGTAAAGTTATTTGAACAAAATGTTTAACCTAGGAATAAGTCTGTTTAACAAGATTTTCACGGGGCAAAGAGTTGTGTAGCAGAGGAAGAAGAAAAAAAAAAAAAAAAGAAAAGAAAAAGAGGAAAAAGCCTAATTGCAAATCCATTTATTCATTAATTTTAAGCAAACCAAACTTCTGGGGTTAGAAAGTTCTGCCAGGTTGCCCTTTTTGTCAACGATTCATGAAATTTGGCTCCCTGAAGCAAAACCAAGTTACTTCAAGAATAAGAATAAAAACCTTAGGGGAAAAACAAAAAACAAAAAAACAAAACAAACAAACAAAAAAAAAACCCAAAAAAATCAAAGTAACAGAAAGTATTGAATTATACAGTATACTTGGTAAAATAATAAATATTAAGAATATGAAAAATAAATAAATCTCATTTATGAGTACTGTAATGAGCAGAGGCAATATATATTTATAATGTTTCTCAATGTCATTAGGAAGTTAACACTTCCAACACTAACACTCACTGATTTAAATAAATAAAAATACTATAGCCTTATGGGATGTCAGTATTGGACACAGAACAACAAATGAAATTTTGATCCATCTGGTGCATAAATTCCCTACTAGGGAATCATAGAATCACAGAAGCAAAGAATAATTAAGTTAGGAAGGGACCTCTTGAGGTCATGTGATCCTTCCCATCTGCTCTAGTGAGGAAATACAGAGCAAGTTGTGTAGGAAGAAGGCTTTCAAAGATCACCCAGGAGAGAGACTTCACAACTATCCTGGGCAACCTGCTCCAATGCTCCATAACCTGCACAATAAAGTACTCCATCCCGTGTTACAATTTGTGTCCATTGTCTCTTGTTCTGTCACTGGATATCACTGAAAAGGGCATGGTTCTGCCTCCATTGCATCCTCTCTTCAGGTATCTAGATAGATTGATAAGAAATCAATATTGTTAATATCATAAAAAAAAAAAAAAAAATCTGTAGGTTACTATACAGGTTAATCAGGGTCTAAATTTGGCCTTCACTGCATTGTGTTACAAATATATGAAGAATCTTTGGATTTCACGTATAATTGTTATCTGTAGTAATCTGGAGGCAGTAAGAAAACTAATACTGACAATGAGCCACAAGTAATCAGTTTACTCTTTCTAACTTGTATTCTACACCTAGTCACTCCACCACGGCTTTTAAGAATAAATATGAGAATAATTCCTTCGTAGTAATTTGTTAAAATTACCTGAATGCTGAAGTACAAGAGTCAGTGACTCTTTCAAAGTATTTATTTTGGCATCTTTTATAGTGCTCATTACACATGCAAATGTTCAGAATTTTATTTTTGTCCTGTTTTCTAGACTTCTATAATTGCCTATAGTAAGGAATTTTACCACGTAAATGCTCACTTTGTAATAAATATTTTTATATTTTTAAACTCAATTTTAAATTTTATTTCATCAGAGTCTTCTTGGAATGAAAACTCTGAATAGTTGTGGTAATTTGAACTTCTACCTGGTGGAAAACTTTACTTTGCAAAATTTCTTTTTCCATGCATTCTGGAAATTCCATCTCTCATGTTTTAATCTTTGGGTACATCAGAGAGGGGCATTTGAAAGAAAAGTGAAATTTTCTATTATAATGAAAAAATAAAAGAACATATTGAAGTCTACTGTATTCATCTATGTGAATCTGATCCCAAAATTTACAGATTAACAGAAAAACTAGACAAACGTAAAACAGCAAGCTATGTATTCTTTATCCTCTAAGGAAAAAAAAAAAAAAAACTCTGGGGAAGAAAATGATTAAAAGTTGAGTATTTTAAAAATGATTGCCAGTTCTTATAGTAGATGTCCAAGACTTAAGGTCTGCCATATGTGGCATAGCTTTACAAATGTCAGTGATGAAAAAAGTAAAAGATGTCAAATTCTATCATATTTTAGCAGGGTATAGAATCATAGAATGGTTTGGGTTGGAAGAGACCCTTAAAATTATCAAGTTCCAACCCCCCGCTATAGGCAGAAATACCTTCCACTGGACCAGGTTGCTCAAAGCCCCATTCAGCCTAGTTTTAAATGCCTCCAAGGTAGGGGCATTCACAATCTTTCTGAGAAACTTGTTTCATTGTCTCAACACTCTCACAGTAAAAAATTTCTTCCAGAGTTGTAGTCTAAATCTGCCCTCTTCCAGTTTAAACTCACTTTGTGTTGTCCTGTCATTACATGCCCTTCTAAAAAGTGCATCCCCAGCTTTCCTGTAGGCTCCCTTCAAGTATTGGAAGTTCACTATGAGGTATCCCTGGAGCCTTCTCTTCTCCAGACTGAAGAGCCTCAACTCTCTCAGCCTCTGCCCATAGGATAGGTGCTTTTGCCCTCTGATCACCTTCATGGCCCTCCTCAATGGCCCCTCCTTAGTCCAATACCTCGACGTCATTCTTGTATTGAGAGCCCCAGAACTGAATGCAGTACTCCAGGTGGAATATTACAGGAGCAGAGTAGAGGGGCAGAGTCACCTCCCTTCACCTGCATGTCACTCTTCTCTTGATACAGCCCAGAATACAGTTGTCCTTATGGTCTGCCAGTGCACATTGGCAGCTCATGTTGAGTTTCATCAACCGACACCTTCAAACCCTTCTTCTTAAGGCAGCTGTCAAGCCATTAACCACCCAGCCTGTATTTGTGCTTGGGATTGCCCTGACACAGGTTTGCCTTGCACTTGGCCTTGCTGAACTTCATATGAGGTTGAAATGAGACAGATGTAAGGCCAGGCACAGAAGTAAGACTGATGTGTCCTGTTATTCCCTTCATCTTCCTTTTTTCCCTTCTTGAAAATGTAGGTTATGTTTCCCCTTTTCTAGTCAGTATAAAATTCTCCAGACTGCCACTACCTTTCAAATATGATGGATATAGGCATGGCAGCTTCATCCACCAGTTCCCTCAGAACCCATGGATGGATCCCAGCAGGTCCCATGCACTTGTGCACCTTAATTATTTTTTTTTATGTGACATTTAGTGAATTTAAACTTCTACTACATCTATGACTATAGCATAAATGATTTATATAATGAAAAAAGTAAGAACCTACAAGTATTGTTATTAATTTGACTGTCAGTTAATAGTCTATTAGCATCAAGTGTTCAGGTCATGATCTCTAGATTTAGAAAAAAATCTGATCAATATATATCATTAAACAGCTCTGGAATATGAAAACTATTCTCACTTTCTCAAAATGTAGCCACATTGTATTCTGTTAAAAAATATAATTAAATATCATTTATCTTCTACAAGTATAGACGGCTATAAGAACTGCAAAAGTATTGCAGTGATAATAGGTTATAGAAGAATGATTTAGAGTATACTTCATCATGACAACCTCAGAAGCAATGCTTAAAGAAGTTGCATGGGTATAATTCTGGCCTGTGAATTCGCTTATGGTGTTGTAATGTAAAAACAAAAATTG